CCACCATGCCCGGCTAATTTTTTCTATATATTTTTAGTTGTCCAATTAATTTCTTTCTATTTTTAGTAGACAGGGTCTTGCTCTTGCTCAGGCTGGTCTCGAACTCCTGAGCTCAAACAATCCGCTTGCCTCGGCCTCCCAGAGAGCTAGGATTACAGGTGTGAGCCACCGCGCCCGGCCTATCTTGTTTTCATATCTAATTTTTATAGCTGATTTTACTATGTATTACTAATAATTAGTTGATGTCATGTTCTAGATAAACCATATTTTTTTTCTAACTCTGTTCTGCCTTCTCCTTTTCTCTTAACATGTTCTCTTCACACGCACACACCCTCCTACCACACAGTAGCTGCCTAAAGCTGCAAGAACCACTTAGCATTCACTTTCAGATACACATTTTTCAACTTACAGCCTAGAGCTTCTGGAAGGATAGAAGAGACCCAGCAAAGAACTAAGAGCAAACGTGGCTTGGTGTTTGGTGGAGCCATCCTGGAAGAGAGCCCTGCAGTCTAGCAATCGGCTGCAGTCTCAATCCCACAGAGAACACAAGGGGGACGTAAGGAACGATGTGGGTGGGGAGGAGAAAGGTGGTGTATGTGACACTGCCACCCATCCCTCCTGAGCAGGAGTGTCAGCTACCCCATTTATTCTCCAACCTCTTTGAGGAATAGTTAGCAGCAACATCTGGAGAAAGGGCAGGGATACAAACTGAAAGAAGATTAGCAGCCCATCCTCTTCTGGCTTCTCTGAAATGGCTTACAAATAAATATTAAACATTTACTAATTTATTTATGTTTATTTTTCTGATTACCAAGCCTAGTGGGTAAATTTCATTCTTTAGCTTATTAGATGTCTTATCAGCATTTGGCCTCTTGGAAGCTTCTCTTCCTTGGACTTTTATGATACCACATCCTGGGGTTTCTGTTTGTTGCACTCAGTTTTCCTTACAGGTTTTTTTTGCCCTTCTGGTCGTTTATGTTGTCCGCAAGATTCTGTCTACGGTCCCATTCTCTTCTTACTGGGCCCGGTCTGCCTGGGTGATACCATATCAAGCCACAGCCAAGGCTTGAAATGCCATCTGATTTTTAAATCTGTATATTGTATTTCTCATCTCATTCTGGGCTCCAGATTTGTAGTTCCAGCTGCTGACTAGATGATGGGTTGCCAGCATCTCCACCTGTTTAAAATTGAACTCACTATATTCTTTCCAGAGCCCATCTACCACCCATATTCTCCCATTTCAGTGAATGGCAACACCATTTAGTTACCTAAACAAGAGCGAGGTGTTTTCTTTGTGCTCACTTCCCAGGAGGCTCCCATGTACTTTCTAGTCTATATTCAGCGTACCTCTGGAATTTACTGCTTTCTCCCAAATCTCTTGCAGCAACTAGTCTTTCTCATCTCCCACTTAGCAGCCTGCAAACTGGTCTCTTTGCCTCAGGTTTCCTAGGCCCTAATAACTCCTCCACATTTCTGTCACAGTAATCATTCTAAAATGCAAATTTGATCATAGTGGACCTACCACTTAAGGGCAAGGGACAGTTGCCTTTTCCTTTTTCTCTGAAACACCCAATTGCATTGAGACATCCGGTGCTTACCTGGGTTGGCCTTTACAGATCAGAATGACACACAAAATAACACAGAAGCCCTTGTTGTTATCCTGGGAGTCTAGAACTTTCATAGGCTTTGGTTCACTCATCAGTTCCTCTCAGAGGCCACTCCACACCCATCTGCAAACCTAATTCAATCTAGAGATAGTGTTAGTATGTGAGTGAGGGGAAAGATGCGCCAGTAGCAGCAAGCCGGCTCTGCTGTGATGCCTGCTAGACACCTGGTGCGATGCAGGCTCGGAATCCAAAGTGCACGGCTCTGTGCAGGCATCTGCACAGGTAACTTGTTAGTGCCACTCCCCATTTACCTCCTTCCAGTTTACCAGGGTTAACAAATTTGGCAGGCCTAACCTAAAAGAATCATATACCCGATCTGTTTAATTAATAAATTTGAAGGTTTTTTTCCAGCCCAGGTATTTATACAACAAAGATTTACTCGCAGTGACCTGTAACATTTCTATGAACCATACACCCAATGTGTATTGTGCAAACAGCCCTTTACTACCCATAAATCCATTATTTGCTTTTGAATCCTACTCTAACTAATGCCTGCATTCCAGTTAAGGAGATGTGAAGTATTTATACACTAAAGCTCTCCTACCACAAAAACAAAACCTATAAATTGGCAAACCACAGCACATTGGCCAAACCTGGCCTATGACCTGTTTTAAAAATAAATTTTGTTGGAACACAGCAATGTCATTCATTTATGTCTTGACTAGGGCTGCTTTTGTGTGCTACAACAGCAGAAATGAGTTGTTGCAACAGAGACCATATGAGTACAAAGCCTAAAATTATTTACTGTCTGGCTCTTTTCAAAAAATTTGCCAACCCCTGTCATAGAAAGTCAAATATATCCACATTCCAAGTACAAATAATGTCCAAAGTAAAACACGATTCAAGCTACTATTACTGATTTATCTCTGTACTACTCCCCACCTTTAGTCAGAATAATCTAAAATTGGTTAAATAGTGATATATCAATAAAATAAAAATAAAGCCTGAATTAATACACTATCCTTAATGTATGATTCAAGCCTCATTTAAATAATTTTTTAATAATACATAAAAGATAATTGAGAGTTATGAATTTGGTGTGAGTATAAAAAAACATGTCAAAATTTAGTTTATATTTAAACTCATTTTCCCAGGACATTTTATCTCATTACCCAATGAGAAAAAAAAAGGAAAGAATCTACCTTAAAATTAAAAGATCTAGAGTAAATCATATACTAGAATGAACTACTAGACCATCTAAAATACCTTCTCAACTACAAGAGGAAGATATAAGACATATTATATACAACATATATTATACATAATTATATTATATACTTATGCATCACTATATAACAAACTCAGTTTTGTTTCTTCCTATGCAGTCACAAAACTGTTTTTGGGAGTGGAACTGGGCTTGGGGGAGAGGGCTGGTGGTCTTCCATGCACGTTAGGCAAGTGTTTCAAGTACCTGAGTTCTCCTATAATAACCCATTATGGGCTTAACATGCATGTATTTATATAAACCTAACTTTTTCATTTTATGTTTTCAGATTTTTTCACTTCTTGGGGAAAAAGAATTCTATAAGTTCACTACATGTAGGGTAAAGTATTTGCCAAAAAATGACCTCTTTTTTCAGGCAATGTCCTCAAAGAGCTTGTTTCTCGCCTGTTTGCAAGACTTGGTTTGGAATAAATGAGTAGTTCTTAAAAAGCACATCCGCCCACAAAAGATAATGATTTGATACCATGGGGCCATGGGGAAGGTGTCCTAAAACAAAGTACCAAAGCCCTGAGGGCAATTCCAAAGAAGGGACAAATTTTAGTTCTTTCAATAACAACAATATTGTTACAGTAACTTTCTAAGATGACTACTTGATGGATAGCAGTTATTAGGATGTATAAAATTTAGAATGTTTATTAAAAGAAAATAAAATTAGTCTAGTAACATTATCACCACACCTTTAATATAGTAGAGACTTTAATAAGTCACTATAGCACTTATTGTGTCTAAAAATACTATATAAATACTATCAAAGTCAATATCACAATTACAAAATGCATCTGGCTGAGTTATAGTCATGCGTAGCATAATGACATTTTGGTCAATGACACACCACATATATGATGGTGTTCCCATAAGATTATAATACTGTACCCTTTCTATGTTTAGGTATGTTTAGATACACAATGGTAAAATTGAGTTAAAATTGTTACCATTGCCTCCAGTACTCAGTATGGTAACATGCTGTTCATGTTGGTAGCCTAAGAGCAATGGGTTATACATAGCCTAGGTGTGTAGTGGGCTGTGCTGTCTAGGTTTGCATAAGTGCACTCTGTGATGTTCCCATGACAAAATAGCCTCATGATGCATTTCCCAGAACATAGCCCCATCCTTAAACAGCACATAACTATATTTTCTTTGTAGATTCTATACAGTAGAAACCTCCCAGAACAATATTGCTTACGTGTTTGCCAGTTGTAGGTCTGTGACACTGTTAAATCTCCATACTTGATGAGACACACGAAGCTGTGGTTGCTGGTCACATTGAAATCCAACTCACTGCTAACAGTGTAGAGCTCAGTTTCAGGATCTTGGGAAACTGTTGTGTTGATGGCGTTTAATTCCTTTTTATTTTCCAACCAGGAGAGGTGAGGCTCTGGAAAACCTCCAGAGGTTGAGCAAGTTATTCTTCTAACGTTAGAAGATGTCGTTTCAGAGGCAGTTATACTAGGTTTAGGGAAGTAAGCTAAAGAAAGAATAAGGATATAATTACATATATTTACATATCTGTGTGTGTGGGTTTATATTCTTAATAAATTATCCAGCTTTAATGAGATGTAATTTGCATCTCCCCATAAATCACTAATAGTTATGTATATAATCCAAAGAGTAACTTTGATTTGAGTTGGCAATATCAATTCTTTACCACTTTTGGTAGAGATAGGAGGGTACTTCTTAGAGAAAGGAGAAGTAGGTTACTGTGAATAAATGTTGCCGTAAGTACTTGCAATTGTAAGAGATGAAGAGAAAAATAACAGACATTTGTTGAGCTCTTGTTTCTTACGTCTGACAGTACCTAATTTTGTATTCACAACAACCTTAGGAGGTAGGCTGTAGATCAAAAAAAGTAATTCAATATGATTTAACCTAATATAATTTCCATTTTATAAAAATCAAACTGAGGTTTAGAGAAATCAACCAGCAGTGGCAGAACTCAAGTCCTCAGCTGACACCAGAGCCTGTTTTCATGGCCTTTCCTTTCCTTCCTTTCCTTTCTTCCCCAAACTTGAGGTAAACAAGTGGCTCTTTTCCCTTTTATCTATTTATTTATTAGCTATAACGAACACCTGTGAACCCACCATCCAACCTGAGGCTCAGCACACTGACAGTAACTTAGGTCGGTCTACCTGTATGGTCTCACCTGTCCTGTCCCTCTCTTTCCCCACACCTGCAGTAACCACTACCCTAAATTTGTGTTTAATATTCCCTTGCTTGTTAAAAAGTACTCTTATACTCAGAAAAACCTGTGTCCAAACTGTACAACATTGAGCCTATAATTTCAGGCACTACATTTTACTGATTCCCTTGCCGTTTTGATATGCTTAAAAGGGCAGAGGCTTCCTAGCTTTCCTCCAAGACACTTGAGGCACCTTTTCATTTGTGTATTTGACTCCCCCATAAGATACTAAAGTACACACAAAGCAAAGTATAGGGAAATGGCTGCAGAGAACGTAGGAGAAAGCTCCCCTACCTTCTTCCTAACTTATTCTTAAGGGATTTAACTTCTCAGCATGAATGTGAGGGTTCAATCCCCCCGTACCTCATTCCAGAGAGTCCCACAGAGATGTTGTATAGCATAGTGGCCATCAAGAGCAGGTTTTAAAACCAGCTCTGCCTTGTGACCCTGGGCCAATGACTTAACTGCTAGTCTTAGTTTGCTCATCTACAAGATGGGATAATAATACCTGCCTTCCAGGGTTGTAAGAATGAACTGACGTCATTAATATAAATCACTTAGCACAGAGCCTGACACACGGGAAGTCAGGTGATAGATTTAGGTAGGTCCTAAATTTGTCCTCTCTTAGATGAGTCCTCTCATTTTAATCAGGTTGCCAGGTGAAGGCTTCCAGGAATGCCTAGTGGCACCAGGAGCAACGAGGAAAGGGGGAAGTCATGACAAATGATTGTAATTGCCAGGAAAGGGAAAAACCTGGATTTGGTTGGTGTTTTCTTAAAGAACCTTGTCCCTAAATGAAGTTTGACATGTTCCTGAGCCATTTTTAGTTGGCATTATCTCCTACTTGTTAATTTATCCTATAAGACCAAATCATTACACTAGCAGCTGACATCAATAATATTCCCATTGTTTCTTATAACACCAATATGTCATGTGTTATAACCAGGAAGAACAAATCTAAATAACTCATAACCTAAATTATGATTCGTGTTCATTTCTGTGCTCTGCTTTTCTAAGAAATAAACTATAAGAATGTCACACATACCAGGAATTGTATTAAAAATCATCTTTTCAAGGTCTCCCTGGGCTGAGAACAGCCTCAGGCCTGCCTGTCTCCTATCCTCTCTATAAAGTGATCTGTTTAGGGTAACCACTCCCAGGGGCTTGCAAGACTGTGTCTTTTGTATTTCATTTTAATCAGTTAACCCCTGATGTTTTCACCACTCTTAATGGGGAAGGGTAAGAATGATTTATGAGAGGAAGAGGTGCATATGTTTTAGAAAGTCAAAAATTCATTAACCTGGTTAATTTGTTAACTAATATAGCTAGTTCTCAAATGTGCAGCTTAAAGGAGGTTTTCATATACTGCTATGCTGACATTATATTGTCATTTTACAATCCTAGACAAATGTAGGGTAACCAACTCATCCTATTTGCCTGAGACTTTCCCAGTTTTAGCACTGAAAATCTTGTGTCCCAAGGAAACCCCTCAGTGCTGGGCAAAAGAGGACAGTTGGTCTGGCCAAATGAGAGCTTGTTTAATTCCTTGCTTCTCAAACTGTGGTCCTCAGCAGCAGCACAGGCATCATGTGGGAGCTTCTTAGAAGTGCGGAATCTCAGATCCAAAGCCCAGACTTGCTGAATTTAAATCTGCATTTTAGTAAGATCCCCAAGGGATCCACAGGTACATTAGCATTTGAGAAGCACTGTTTTTAATTGACTAAGTTTCCAACAGGGCAAAATTAAGCAGGTGAGTTTTCCCTTACCTAATTTTTGTGTCCCCACCCCTTTAAGGACCCCAGCAATCTCATGTTGCCCCTTAATTGTCCTTGGTCTCCTATAGTAATCTGCTATGAGGGCCTGCCCTCCCTGAAACATTTCCTCTTCTCCCTCTTGGATTTTCTTCTTTGTCTTTCTACCAAAATTTACCTGACCTGAGTCTACTTCTCACAGCAGTCCCCAACCTTTTTGCACCAGGGACAAGTTTCCTAGAAGACAATTTTTCCACGGACTCGGGTGGGGGGCAGGAATGGTGAGGGATGGAGAGCAGCTATAAGTAAAGACGAAACTTCCCTCCGCCCACCTCCTGCTGTGCAGGCCAGTTCCTAACAGGCCACTGACCAGTACTGGTCTACACCCGGAGGTTGGGGACTGCAGTGTTAGAGGACTATGTACCTAATGTAATTAACTAATACAGGCTGATACGCTTGTGGTGCCACCTCCCCCAGGTAATACGTTTCCTTTTCTTTCTTTCTTTTTTTTTTTTTTTGTAGCAAAATGTTTATTTTCAGCATCTGGGTGGGGATGGGTGGAGGCCAAAAAAGGCATCCACACATTTTCATTTTTAACAGAGATCTTGTATGGGAAAAATGCTGAAACTAACAGAAATAGCTATAATGATGAGAATTTCAGAAATTAATGAAGGTGAATATTCTGGAAGAGGTAGCCTTCTTAGTATCCCTCAAATCACATCACCGTATGATCATTTGCTATATCCTCAAGTAACAGAAAACACAGAGTGAAGTTTAAGATAGTTCCACGTGACTTTCGCTTTCCCCCTAAGTTTTAGGTGTGATCTGGATGCTGCAGGTAAAGATCCATAGCTAATGACCAAAGCAGGGACAGTGAGGGATTCACTAAGGATCTGCTGAAGTTACCAATTATCAAGGTTAATCATTATGTTATATTAAGTAAAAGATTTGTTTTTCACTAAAGGCTCAAGTGCCCAGGAAGATAAAGAAATGCGTTTGAATTTCAAGTGTGAGAGAATGGCCCAGGGTTGTAACTACACAAGGGCTGGGGCTCCATCAGCATCCTCTAGTCCTACCACCTATGACTAAAGCAAGGCTCCTTCCCTCCCAAGATGAGAAATGCTTGCCCTTTATGGTAGGTGTATAAACAGGGCTTTGCTTTGTGAATTAGTTTTCTTCAGAGTTATGCATCCAATTCTCTAAAATCTAACTTTGCAGGAGAGACTGTTAGATGAAAGCTTCAAATATGCAATAAGTAAATTATCACTTTGAAAACATTAGGACAGTAAAATAGCCATAGTACTAGACACTCAAATACTGCTTGAAAAGATTTATGCCTGCATTGCTCTTTTACCTTTTCAACATACTTCCACAGGCATATATCGCTGGATCCTACATCACACCAAAGATGTCACCTGGTGATTCAGAGGCTCTTTAGGTCATTACAGTGCTCCAGGGTGATTGTCATAGGGGGATTGTCAAAGTACAAGAAATACACATTAATAGATATTTCTAGGACGTCTTGAGAAATCAATTAGGGTTTATTGTAAAACTAGAGACTCAACCCTAAGAAATGAAGAGAAGTACATCCCGCTTTGGTGAAATTTCCACCTAAATCAATAGGCATGCGCTTTAGGGCATTACGAACCTGCTGGCCTAAAGTAAATCAGAAAATCCCACCAACCTCTGACTGATAACATCACTGAAGTCAGGTGTTCCCGTTTGTAAGACCCTTTTTCGAGCTTCTGAATGACACAAGTATATTTGCCCGTGTCGGTCAGGCGCAGATCCATCATCATGATGGAGAGGTTATTAGTGACGTCAATCATGGTCCGGTTCTTGTACTTGGGCCACCTTTTTGTTGACCCAGATATGACACTCAGCACCATATCATTCTCCTTTTGCCAGTAGATGCGAACTCTCGCCAGTTCTTCAGCAGAAATGTTGTAATCACAGGACATTATTGCCATTTCTTTCACTGCCTTGATCACCTGGCTAACACCTAAGGAGAGACAAACAGAACAAGATTTTATATTTATTAAACACGATTCCTGCATGAGCAGGAATCCCGACTTGGCAATAACAGAACTCAGGGGGTTGTATCTAGTGACTAAGCATGATCAGAGAATCCAGTTGGATTTTTTTGGTCCCCAGTGCTTTTTATCCTCCCTTCATTTTTTTCATTGTGGTTAAAAAAAAAACCACACAACATAAAATTTACCATCATAACCATTTTTAAGTGTATAGTTCAGTAGTGTTAAATATTCATGTTGTTGTGAGACAGATCTCCAGAACTTTTCATTTAGCAAATCTGAAAGTCTATGCCCATCAAACAACTCCCCCTTGATCCTCCCCTCAGCCTCTGGTAATTGCCATTCTGCTATTCGTTTCTACGAATTTGACTTTATTTTTTTGAGACAGGGTCTCGCTCTATTGCCTAAGCTGGAGTACAGTAGCACAATCATAGCTCATGACAGCCTCGAATTCCTAGGCTCAAGCAATCCTCCTGCTTCAGCCTCCCAAACAGCTAGGACTACAGGAGTATGCCACCACACCTGGATAATTTTTTTTTTTTTTTTAGAGACAGGTCTTGCTATGTTGCCCAGGCTGATCTCAAACTCCTGGCCTCTAGTCATCCTCCTGCCTCAGCCTCCCAAAGTGTGAGAATTATAGGTGTGAGCCACCACACCCAGCCTGAATTTGACTTTAGATACCTCAAACAGTACAATCATACAGTATCTGCCTTTTTATGGTGGGCTTATTTGACTTAGCATAATGCACTTAGGGTTTATCTATGTTGTAGCATATGACAAGCTTTCCTAAGAAAGACCTCATTTCCAGGCCCTCTCTCCTCTTGGGCAGCAGGACCACGGGGCACGAGCACCTTTCCATTTCACCAGCTATTCTCAGGCCTCTGTCAGACTGATTATGACCCAGCCACAGCACTGAGGAAGAGGGTTTTGTGCTGGTGGGTATTCGCATAGCATTGTGAAGTATCTCAGAATGTGGCCAGTTGCTGCTTTAAGGAATATAACTGAAACTGAGGGGGCAGAAATGAAAGGATACATATGAAGGGAGCATATTTCAAAATGAAGCTATAATAGCTAAAGATCAAGCTACAACCCGGACACTCTTAGGGATACAAGGAAAGCAAAATGATATGCAAAAGGAGCATGGAATATGCATTCCTGATGATGTGGAGTCTAGTCCCAGCTCAGACATCTGCTGATTAATCTGTTTCGTTATCTGTAAAATGAGTATATCTCCCCCTCAGGATCACTGGAAAATAAAGTTCAAGTAAATGAAATGAATAGAAAAGTCCCAAGGACACAGAAGGTCTTATGTAAGAGTTTCCTTTTTTCTCTCTCCCTCCTCCTGCCACCAACTCCTGCCCTCTGGTTCCTTTCGTCTCACTCAGGGACTACGTCAAATACATAGGAGTCTGGGCTTGCTCTGGGCCAGACAGACAGAGCAAGAATGGGGCCCCTTCCTCTGGGGCCCCAAATAATAGGGGTTTTCCCCACTGAACTGTTTGTTCCTGCCCCCAAATAATCCAATGTTTCGAACAGATTTTGACATGTGGTGACGTTTGCAAAGGAGAAATCGTAACTGAAAGAGAAGCTAACTACTCTCAATGACGGTTCCTAAGGAGTTTTTGTTCAGCCATGTGAGGAAAAGTGTGGGTGTCTCCCTAAAGGTCACACACCATCAATGGGCTGCTTGACGTTCCTCTCTGAAATCCACTTCTCACCAGACACTGCTGCTGAGGAAGAACCAGACTAAAAAGAGGAACCTAAAATCTTCCCTGTGATTTGGGAATTCCCACAGGGACCTGGCTTCCATAGGTGGGGGCTCCACTACACAGGGACAGAAAACAGCTGAAACATCTCTGAAGGGTTTTGTCTGCTTCAGTGACTCGGAGGGGAGAGTCAGTTCCCAGAAATCTCAGCATTACCGGTTGAATTTCTGAGCTTGCTTTGCCATTTTACAAATTGTCATGGTAACACCTACCTAAGGCAGGGGGCGTGAGGAGTCAAACAAAATACTGCACGTGAAACTCCTCCGTAGTACCGGGACATTAGCGGGGCCAACGTCCTTTCCAGAGACCCACACAGCCCAGGTCTCATTCCGCTCACCTCTGCTCTCGTGCCCCCCCCCCCCAGAGAAAGGCCTTCTCTGACTCTCCCTAAACATGCCACCCTCCCTGAGCACATCCATCCTGCTACTCCTTAGTCTCTTGCCCTGATTTATTTCTCTTCAAGCTTGTCTTGAGCTGACATATACTTTTACAAGTGTGATTTCTATTTACATGAATATATATGATATATAATTACTTATGGGGCCATGAGAGGAGAGGCTTTGTCCAATTTGTTCATTGCCATACCTGCAGTGTCTAGAACAGGGTCTGGCCCATAGTAGGTGCTCAATAAATACTTGCTGACTGTGTGCCTAGGCATTAGGAGATGGGGTCTGGCTCATATGCTACATATAAGAATCATAACCTTGAACGAATTGGTTAAACTCTTTGGATCTCAGGTACCATTTCTATAAAATGGGCATAAACCTATTGCTATAGTTCAACTGTGTTCCCCAAAGTTCACGTGTTAGAAACTTTATCCCCAGCAAAACAGTGTTGAGAGGTGGAACCTTTAAGAGGCGATTAGGACATGAAGGCTCTGCCCTCAGGAACGGATTAGTGCCGTTATCTAGGGAGTGGATTTTTTTGGCAGGAGTAGCTTCCTTACAAAGGATGAGGTCCACCCCCTTCCTCCTCTCTCTCTTGCACATGTTCCCTTGCCCTCCCACCTTCTGCTAAGGGATGAGGCAGCAAGAAGGCCCTCACCAGATGCAAACCCCTCCACCTTGGACTTCCCAGCCTCTGGAACTATAAGAAATAAATCTCCATTCTTTATAAATTACCCAATCTTAAGTATTCTGTTATAGCACCACAAAACAGACTCAAGCAACTATCTTCCCTTCTACACATAATTATCACAGGGATCATACGAACCCAGATGGGAAGTGCCTGTTAACCACAGAATGCTACACAGATTTTTAATGGGGCCATTCTCATGCATAGCAGCCTACTTTGTTGCACCACACCCAGGATGGGACCAGCACCACCACGGTAACTGGCTGACCCTTGGACTGAGTTGAGTGCCCATAACTGTCAGGGGTGCCCATCTTGCATTTACACCAGCAGCAGTAGAAAGCGGCAGAGGCCTGAGAGGAGATGGGGAGAGAAGGCAGAGATAAAAGGTGATGCTGCTCACCTCTCCTGATGAATGTGTGTACACTGCCCACCTGCGTGGCACACTGGGGACACTCACAATGCTGTCCCCACCCCTGCCTTTCCTGACCCCTCGGCCATCCCCCTGTCCTGACCGCTTCAACTCTCAAGTGCTAAATCTGTGAGAGGATTTACTGACAAGTGTAGAAACCACTAGTTTTAGGAAATAATGCACCTCTCAAGAACTCAATCTACAATAGAATATTATCTGGCCATAAAAATGAATGAAGTACAATACATACTACAACATGGGTGAAACTTGAAGACATAATACGCAGAGAAAAAAGGACACAAAATGTCACATATTATAAGAAATGTCCAGAGACAAATTCCTAGAGACGGAAAGTAGCTTAGTGATTACCAGGAGATGCGGGTAGGAGAAGATGGGGGGGTGGCTGCTAATGGGTATGGTGTTTCTTTTGGGGGTGATGGAAATGTTCTGGAATTAAATAGTGCTAGTGGTTTTACAACATTGTGAATACACTAAAAACCACTGAATTGTATGCTTTAAAATTGTGAGTTTTTATGTCATTGCAAATAAAAGATGCAGGGAAAAAGAACCCAGTCTAGGAAGACATGAATCTTCCCTAAACCTGTCCATATAGGATGGAGGCAGTGTGGATGCAGGGGCCTCCCCAGGGCACTTCGGTGAGTTCAACCCCAGCAGCAGTCAGAGGGGCTGCCGGGGTGGGGGGTCTGAGCGCTGTTCACCACTTCTCCTGGCGGACAACGGAGAGAAGCAGCGGGCACAGCATCTGAAAACTCACCCCGCGATCTGACATACACGGCATCACTGAGGACTTAAGTATGCTTTAAATAAACATTTCCCCTGGCTATAAAAGAAACATATATTAAATTTTGAAAGAATAGAAAAATACAGAAAAACATAACATTCACCTATTGTCTCACCACCTGAAGATTTTACAGTTGATGGTTTGTGCACACCCTTCCCATGGAAATGACCTTTTTGGACAATTCTTCTAAGCATTTGATTAAGCGAACCAGCAATGACAGGGCTGGTGTTGGCCCTGGGCTGGGTGCTATAACCACGCAAGGAAGATCAGGTGTGTCTGCTCTCTAGAAGCCAGCAGATTTGAGACTTGTCACCTGATTTTTATGTTGCTCCTGACTTTGTCTTCTTTTAAGACTCAGCTCTTATACTCTGTGTAAATACGATCCTTACTTTTTTTCTCTCTCTGAGTAGTATTTATAACCTTAAAATGCTCAGGGGTCCAGGCATGGTGGTTCACACCTGTAGTCCCAGCAATTTGGGAGGCTGAAGCCGGAGATTGCTTGAGGCCAGGAGTTTAAGACCAGACTGGGCAGTATAGTGAGACCTCACATCTCTACAAAAAGTAAAACAAAAATTAGCTGGATATGGTGTTGCATGCCTGGAGTTCCAGCTACTCGGGAGGCTATAGCAGGAGGATCTCTTGAGCCCAGAAGTTCAAGGTTACAGTGAGTATGATCATACCACTGCACTTCAGCCTGGGAGTACAGCAAGACCCTGTTTCTAAAGAAAAATGCTTAGGGACTTGAACAACTCTTATCAGGGTAATGATGGCAAAAATTGTCACTCATGGGACCCCTTGGCTGGCAGCATTCTGACAACAGTGGTACACTTGTTACAATCGATGAACCTACATTGATGCATCATTATCACCCAAAGTCCATAGTTTATGTTAGTGTTCATCACTCTTGGTGTTGTACGTTCTGTGGGTTTGGACACATTTATAATGACTTATATCCATCATTACAGTATTACATAAAATAGTTTCACATCACTAAAAAAAAAAATCCCCTGGGCTAGAAACTGCAATTTCGCAAAACCCCCAGGTGATTGACATGTATAATTAAAGCATGAGCAGCGCTGGGGCAGACCGTGCCACGCCCCTGCAGAGCCCTTCTGGCTCCCCCGTGCTCTCCACACAGCATGCAGATCCCTGACCTAGGTGCCCAAGCCCTGTGGGGTCTGGCCCCTGCTTCTTCCCAGTCTGGACCTATCCTCCCGGCTTCCCCCAGCGCGCTTCCCTCCTCGCTGGCAGGGGAGGAGGGCACTTCCTCTGACAGGCCTGTACCTTGCCTTCAAAGCACTTTTCTCTGTTTGTTGGTCACACATTCACACATTCATTTGAGTGACTACTGGGTTACTTTTCTTCTTCCTCTCAATGACTATAAATTCCTTGAAAACAAGGGCCATGTCTATTTTGCTCACAACTTGTCCCTAGGACCAAGAAAAATCTCTTGTGTATAGGAGATGCTCAATATTTGTTGAGCTAATAATTAAATAAAAGAATGAATACCTGTGCCAGACTCATCCTTACCTTTGTGCCTTTGCCCAGGCCATTGCCCTCCCAGAAGTCTCTGTCCATCACCCATCCACGTCCATACAGCCCAACCTGCTTCAGCCCAACCTGGTCCCTCTTTTCCCAGATCTTGGACTCTTTCAGTCAGAACAAAGCACTTCATCGCTCGTTGCTTATTTTATGCGGGTTAGTTTTGCCTTCCCCAAGTAACACATGCACACCTCTTTAAGGGTGGGAATCCTAGGCCCACCTGGCACACAGTAGGTGTTCAGACATAAGAAGCTCATGGATTGGTTCCTTGACTCAGTCACAGCAACGATAGAATCTGGATGTAGCAGTAGCACAAGGTGCTTTCCTAAACATCTTTCTTTAGCTCAAAGATCATCTCCTTCTATTTACCTCTGACCCTAATTTTCCTGGTACAATTGCTAAAGCCTGGGTTTTAATTTTCCTTTTATGTTTTCTTTCTCTTTTTTATTATCCTCTCTCTCAGTTCTGGGAAGCCTGTACAAATTTCCTTCTAAATATTTATAATTCGTTCAGACTCCCCAGAAGACTAGTTTGGGAGCATTTCCTCAACTTCCCAAAAGAAAATTGTAAGTGCTGGAAACATAATATAACCTTCAAATACATACGAAATCTGATGTGTAAATTGTGAATTTTGTAATTATGTAATTCACAATTTTATGAATTGTGTAAGTGTGTAAATTAAGCCATGGTTCTCTTGGTTCTGCAACAGTGGATAATAGCAAACTTTACAACTCTGGACAGAAAAATTAAAATGACCACCATGGCAGACAAATAATCTGTGTGCTTCCAGCTCCTCTTTCCTTCCCTCTGCCCACTCTCCGCACCTCATACATCCCAGGCAAGGCTCCAGTGAGCAGCTTTTAATACAAGGACCTTGGACAGTAGGGTCTTTACAGACAGACTGGGAAACCATGCTGGATCCCAAGCCTCCTCTTTATTTTGGGGAAACCAGGAGGTATGCTACTCCATAGGAGGCACATCTTTTTTTTTTTTTGAGACAGAGTCTCACTGTGTTGCCCAGGCTAGAGTGCTGTGGTGTCAGCCTAGCTCACAGCAACCTCAAACTCTTGGGCTCAAGCAATCCTCCTGCCTCAGCCTCCCGAGTAGCTGGGACTACAGGCATGTGCCACCATGCCCGGCTGATTTTTTCTATATATATTTTTAGTTGTCCAATTAATTTCTTTGTATGTTTAGTAGAAACGGGGTCTCGCTCTTGCTCAGGCTGGTTTCGAACTCCTGAGCTCAAACAATCTGCCTGCCTCGGCCTCCCAGAGAGCTAGGATTACAGACGTGAGGCACATCTTTAGTTTTAAGACTTTAAAAAAAGCCAGAACCATTCTGCCAACAGGATGAGCCCCACCCTTCCTGGCAGTCCTGCAAGTTCAGCACCCTTAAGACCACCGGAGCTGGAACAAAAGCCTCAAGAAGTGAAAATATTATTTGCAGGACACATATGAAATACGATGCATCAAATTAAAAATAACTAAAAATATAATTTTGTGCTAAATCTGATACCACTTAATGTCAGATGTCAGTGTTGAAAAAGGATAGCAGCACCGAAAGCGTAAGAATAAATATCAAGAGAAAAGTTTGACATCCAGAAGATTATATTCCTAACCTCTTCCTCCTCCCTCCTCCTCAAACTAGAAAGCTCATCATCATTCAGTTTTAGAGGCAGAGCACTCAGGCTGAGTGGCGTCATGGAAATGGAGTTTGGGAACTGGACCTGGAGGCCAACACCCTTCTCCCTTCTCACATCACAAAATGTAAACGAGCATCTAGTGATTACAACTCCAAGCTGTCTTTCTGAATCAGCTTTATACTTTTGTTTAAATGACATTGTCCCACCCTTCCTTTAAGGTCTGGGTTCTTGAGTTAACTTGGCCTCTAACTTGCTATGAGACCATAAGCAAGTCCTTTAACCTCGTTGGACCACAGTTTTCTCATCCTTGAAATGTACTGGAAACACCCTGAAGGTCCCCTTCTGCTTATAGGGTGATGGAAGGAAATGGCACAAAGAACACTGCTTCCTTTCCCTTAACCCTGTAGCAGTGTACTCAGTTAAGTTCCTGAAAGTTGCTTACCTGAACAGGAGTGGCAAATGCCAGCCAGCACCAAGAAATTGAGGTATAAACACTTGCATACTTGTGTGTAATCCATTGGTTTAGGTGGGAGATGGAAGCCAACAATTTAGACCTGGACACCTCCCAAGTATGAAGCAGGCGGGGCTGAAGACAATCCAACTGCCCACGTAGATGATTCTCCACTGATGTTTACAAAACACACCGATGAGAAACTGGATAGTGTTCCTGGGTATCCAAAGGTTGTGGATTTATTTTCACAACCTGAAAAAGAAAAAAAATACAAGTCATCCAGGAAGGAAGGCCTGCCTACTGTGGGTTGTAAACTCCCAAGTTGCCTGCCTAAAATAAGTTGGGGAGGTTAACCTGAGCGACTTCTCAGCCAGGGTGTGACCCTGAGGAAAAGTAAGTCAGGGAACCCTGTGAGGAGGTGGTGACCATGCCTTGTGCTGTTCTGAGAACCAACCATAGCGCTTCCATGAAATGACTCTCTGCTTAATAGGTGTGGTTAGACTTTGTTAGAAACACATAGAACTAGAACCCTTAATATCACTAGCCAACCCATGAAAGTTCAGATCCTCTTCTGAACATACCAAGAAATGCAGAGGAACCAGCAAGGGTGTCCTTCGTCTGAGGCAGTACTTAAGTTATGAAACAACTTCTTTCTTAACATAGTAACACAGGGAAAAAAAGTATCTCAATTATTAAACACCTCTACTCAAATAATATGTCATAAAGGAGTAGAAGTTCTCAATCAACACAAAAATCTATCGACAAAAAGGGAGGAAAAACAAAGACACACTGCAAATGTTACTTATGTAAATCATTTACTGTAATATGAAGAGGCTGGGGTTTTTTTCCCAGTAAATATATCAAAATTGGGAAATGAAAATGAATGCCATGCCCCACTGTCACCCTCTCGGGCTGATGCCATAGACAGAGTCCGATGCTGCCCAGGAGATGCTTGGATCTATCTCCTCTTCGGGGACCACGCTGGAGCTAGTGTTCCAGCCACCCCAGATTTTCTTACTAGCCACAGTCTGTTTTTAGCCAGATTAAGTTGAAGAGACTTATTCACCAGAATTTCAGTAGCTGAAGAAACTCTAATGTGGCCCACAAAAATAATATTTGCTATCATCTAGAAAATTTAAAAATAATGGTGATAATAATCTCATGGTGATTCTCCAAATGTGTTGGGAAGCCACAACCTTCCATGGAAATGAAACCCCAGAACCTCCTTGGAGGGCAAGTATGCGTCCAGGAGGTAGCGGTGATGCTATGTTTCTTTAAAAATCAGTCAGGTTGCTGGTAACTAGTTCTCCCAAGCTGTCCCATAGTAAGATGATAGTAAATGTACTTACCGAGGAGGAAAAATTCCACTCTTTCTTTTGTATTAAAAATTAGAGGCCCCCTTCTGAGATGTTCTCCTTGTGCTGTCTTCAAAATAATGGCAAATCACTCGGTTCTTTGGGTGAGCTATCAAAGAGGTGCTGTTTCTACCTTCCAACTTCCTGTTACTTGACAGAGGATTTGACCTCACACAGAAGCACTTAGTCAGCTGGGGGCCGGGCAGGGTGTAGTCTATGGTTTGAGGAAGCTCCCTCCACGGCTCTTTTCTACCCCTGCCTCCCTGGAGTGTGTAGCCGGGGCCAATCACATGGCAGCCTCCCTCACCACGGAAAACCCGCTAACACACACTGAACACTGAGGGCCCCGGGCAGCCTGGGCGGTGGGAACAAAGGTGCCCCAGGAGAGGCTTGGGCAGCCCGCTAGCCTTGCTGGGCGGTGGGGGTGAGCTTCAGGGGCTGGCCGTCTCTGTGCTGGTCTCAAGTTCTGTTTTAGCACCCATAGTTACTCCTCCTGAGTCATTGTCAGGCCACTGCAGGAGTGAGCCATTTACCCCACATGTAGGGGAGACTTTCTGGAGAGTGCTCAACTCACAAGACCACCCTCAACTGCACTCTCACCCTTCCACCCCACCATGTTCACAGGGTGGGCTCCAGGCAGCCACGTCGGACAGTGAATTCCAGTCACCCGGCCATGGTTGAGTGCATGTCAGGTGAGCATGGTGAAAGCACTGAGGGGTGAGGTGGGGAAGACTTTAGTACCTCCCAGCACCCCCGTTTCCAAGCAGCCTTCCCCCCATGCCTTATGCCCTATGCAGAATTCTGGAGCACCCATGGGCAAGCAGCTGACCCAGGCTGAGCCAGGCTGCACAGGTGGAAACCGAGTGCACCCTGTGCCTGCACTTTTCACAGTCTGCCTCTGGCCCTGCCCGGGGCTCCTCTGCTGTCTCGGCAATGGGACACCTTTGAAAGTTCCGCACTCAAGCATGTGCAGCCCAGGAATGTGGGGAAGTCAGTGCCCACGGGGCTACCTTTGACCACTGGGGGCCAGAGGCAGATGGATAACTGCTTCCCCCTGTGTGTCCCCAGTGGAGAGTTCTGAGAGACATTTTCTCACTCTCCCCAGAAGGTCTTAGTGGGGTCGAGCACCAGTGACATTTAGCAGCCGTCACCTCATAAGGCTTCCTTGTTCTGGCTTTCCCCCCTCCCCATCTCCCTTTCCCTGTCCTAAACCACTGGACTCGTGTTTCCAGGTAAACTACTTTGCCAAGCCTTTGTCTCTAGCTTTGCTTTCCAGTGAACCCAGGCTAAGACAGCAGGGATACTGTACCATACCTCTACTGGTATGGTAGAGGTTCAACAGTTATTCTTGTAAAATAAATGTGTAGAAGTAGAAAGGTGAGTCAATTTAGAGAAAAAAATGATAGTAGACATGGTATATGAGTGTGGCAAACATTGTGAATATGGTATAGAAATGTCTGAAATATTCATCTGAGCCTATTAGAAAGCAAACTTTCCTAGCAAAAATCACAGTGTAAGCTGCTATCCATCTTATATTTTTCAGGGTTATCAAAGGCATCGAGGTCCTTTAAATAAAAAGCTGACCGGGAGGGATGAAAGCATGAGGCCGCCGGGTGTCCATAGGATGGGGAGAGTAAAAATCACCCCAAAAGAAGAGGAGGAAAGAATAAAGGCTTTTTCCACTTTGTGGTTGTGCTTAGGCTCTGATGAGGCCTGTGGTGTAGCAAACACAGGTGCTCTCTAGAGGGACTATGTGCCAAGGCTCAGCTAATGCTGCCTCTGAAAAATCGCCGGTTGTGTTTGGGACAAATCTGATGCATGGAGTGAGTGGCAGCTCTGCCACGTGATCTGACAGCTACGGCGCTAAAGCATCAGTCCTAGCACCCACAGCGCATGCATCCGCTCGGGGGAAGACGGGCTCTTCACACTGAGGTACTTGTATCCCGGAGGAGACTTTCAAAGGGTATGTGGGCACTGACAGATTTAAGAGAATCATTTTCTATATTTGCACTTTCTTAAAACTTGCACGAGAGGGACCTTGACCTTCATCCTATTTAAAAAGAAAGGCATGGCCAGGCGCGGTGGCTCACGCCTGTAATCCTAGCACTCTGGGAGGCCGAGGCAGGCGGATTGTTTGAGCTCAGAAGTTCGAGACCAGCCTGAGCAAGAGCGAGACCAGCCTGAGCAAGAGCGAGACCCCGTCTCTACTAAAAATAGAAAGAAATTAATTGGACAACTAAAAAAATATATATATAAAATTAGCCGGGCATGGTGGTGCATGCCTGTAGTCCCAGCTACTCGGGAGGCTGAGGCAGAAGGATCACTTGAGCCCAGGAGTGTGAGGTTGCTGTGAGCTAGGCTGACGCCACGGCACTCACTCTAGCCATGGGCAAAAGAGTGGGACTCTGTCTCAAAAAAAAAAAAAAAAAAAAGAAAGGCATACCTCTCACCCAACCTGAATCTTATTGTGGTACAATGTTCTAGAAAGTAAAAAAATCTCAAAAAAAGGGACAGTTTGAAATATTGGTGCTTCAATTAGCATTGACTCCTAGAATCGAGACAGTGTAAGCCCAAGGTACGGCCTGTGTCCCGCCTGTCTGTCCGTGTTTCTATTCGGTAGAAAAGTGGCTTTAGTGACAGGCGTTCTGCAGTGGGGTGGCAGGACTGACAGCAGCTTTCATTCAGTGAACTTGCTCTTCTACTTCCTGTGCGTTGTTAAAGACGCCGTCCTTCCCATGGCAGCCAGAAAGAGAGCGGAGAGCTCGGGTGAGTAATGCTGACTGCAGTGACAGCTTGCTTCACCCCAACAACAAGTTGGGCAGGGCTTGGTGGGTGACTGCTGTGTCCACCTGAGATCTGCGATACCCCGGCTTTGGAAATCATGCAGGCAAGACTTGCAAGGACAGGACTCGACCGCAGCATTTCACCTTCTCTATTGGGAGAAGGGGCTTTGTGAGCACCCTCCTCCCCCGGGTCAGGTTCTGGGTCTCAGATGCATGTTTTGAATAATTATGGGGAGGAAGGAGGTGACGACTTCCACCTTACCTCTAATAGATCAACAGTACATTTTCAAGTAAATATACATCAGAGATAAATTTGTGCTTTATATTTTCTTGAACATTTATTCAGCTCTTAGAAGAAAGGTTTTCACTGATTTTTGCCAATTTAGATTTTACTCAGAACATGTAAGAATGATGTAATTTTTTAAAGTGACAATTTTACAGTATGTTGGAAATTATGTCCTTTGCATGTATTTAAAGTAATATAAAATTACAGATGTCACCTTAAAAATGAGTAAAGAAATACATAGTTTTATACATTTCATGTGGGGATATATGAGTAAAAATTTTGAAGACCACAAGACACCCTCACATTTTAAGAGTCCCAGTAAAATCCTAACCCGCCTTGGAGAAAAAACATATTAAACGGCATTTCGCCATTAGCACCTTGATGTGACTTAATCAGAGAGATTGGGAGGAAAGGGACCAGATAGGTACTTTTCACTAGTTTTCCCCTTCCTGACTGCAAAATACAGAAGGCTTCTCTTCTAAGATTATGCAGTAATGGGATGCGTTTAATCCCTCTTCCTCCTGAGACCCCATTCAAATAATAGTTAAAAAAATTTTTTTTTAAACGTATATCCACAATTACAATGAGACTGGGAGCATGATCTGTGGACCAAAGATTTCTGGGATAAATTTCTAGAGACTGG